TATGAAGTGTCCCTCAAAAGCTCCTGTGTTAGTGCAGGAATGTTCAGAGGTGACGTGACTAGATTGAAGAGCTGTCACCTCGTCAGTCCATCCTAGTTTGAATGGACTGACGGGGTGATAACCGTGGACAGATGGGGCATGACTGGAGGAGATGGGCGGGTCACTGGCGGTGTGCCCTGGAAGGGTTCATCTTCCCTGTGACCCCTTCCCCTTTCTCTCTCTGCTTCCCGGCCACTGTGAATGGAGCAGGCCTCTCCACCCCCACCCCCATTCCCTATGTGCTGCTCACCTTGGTCCCAGAGCAATGGGGTCAGCCCATCCTGGGCTAGACCTCTGGAACCACAAGCCAAAGAACAAAACAAAACAAAACAAGAACAACAAACACAGCACACAGCAGATCTGCCTCCTGAAATGCCTGTGGTGAGCAACTCTGCTCCACCAGGTGCTCCCTGCCATGAACTGCAGCCTCACCCCAGGCCCAAAAGCAAGGGGTCAGCCGACCATGGACTGAAACCTCTGAACTGTGAGCCAAAGTAAATCTCTCCTCTTTACAAGCTGATTATCTCGGGTACTTGTTACAGTAGTGGAAAGCTGACTAATGCAGCATTTGATAAAATTAACTCATTTTTGTTCCAAACCTTTAGTAAACTATGAGGGGGCTCTGCCTACTCACATAGAAAAAGGATCTATGAAAAACTAGCAACCGGCACCATACTTAAATGTGAAATGCTATGTATCCCCATCAGTAAGAAGTAAGAAAGGAGCTGGAGGTTATGGAGTGCTAAGAGCCACAGCCAAGTAATATGACGCATGGCATTTTTGGTTGAAAGGTGGCGCCAGCAAGCCATTGAGATGATATGATTATGTAAGATCTGCATTCATATGGATATTGGACTCCTGCTGTCCACCTAGGCCTGCTATGGGGACTCCTGGAGAGTTCCCATTGGTTGGGGAAGTGCGGTAGGAGGGAATTCCGGAGGAGGGACTTCCTGTTGGGGTCCGGGAGAACGCAGTGTGGGTCGGTGGGCAATCTTCCTGGGAGCATACCGGGCATTGGCGGCAGTTTCAAAAATAAAGTTTGTTCCTGCTTGAGTGGCTCGTGATTTTGTGCCCAGCCAGACTGCGGCAATGGAGCATGCTTGTCATCCCAGCAACTTGGGAGGCTGAGGCAGGAGGATCATGAGTTCAAAACCAGCCTCAACAACTTAGTGAGATCCTGTCTCAAAATAAAAAAAAAAATAAAAAGGGATGGGGTTGTAGCTCAGTGTCCCTGGATTAAATCCCCAGTACCGATAGATAGATAGATAGATAGATAGATAGATAGATAGATAGATAGATAGATAAAAAGGGCCTTGGATATGGCTTAGTGATAAAGTGCTTCCCTAACATGTGCAAGAGCAGGGTTCAATCCCAGGTACTGGGAGAAATAAAGGGTAGAAGGGAGGAGGAGAGAAATAAAATGAATGTCCTCTGGCAGCGCAGCTAGAGTGGTATTCAAAGACCATTCTGCACAATGTAAGGGAGTGAGAAACACAAATTGGAAGAGACCTAATTTTCCTTATTTGCTGCTGATATACCTGGATTACATAATCAACAACAAATATTTTTAATACATTTTTATCACAAAATGTATTCTACGGTTTGAAAGTCCCCTTCAAAGCGCACATTGAAATGTAACTGCCATCATAGCAAAACAAGATGTAGGACTTCGTGGGGGCTCTGCTCTAGTCCCAGCGGCTCAGGAGGCCGAGACAGGAGGATAGCAGGTTCAAAGCCAGCCTCAGCAACAGCGAGGCGCTAAGCAACTCAGTGAGACCCTGTCTCTAAATAAAATACAAATATAGGGCTGGGGATGTGGCTCAGTGATCAAGTGCCCCTGAGTTCAATCCCCAGTACCAAATAAATAAATAAATAAATGGATGAAAGTGGTCTTGGAGAGAGTGGGTTCCTGATAATGAGGACGGTCCCACCAGTTTCCCTTCCTGCTCCTGTGCTTGCTTGCCCTACCGCTGTGTTATAGGGTAGCACAAATCTCCTTGCCAGTTGTTTTTTTTTAATCCAGATGCTCTTGAACTTTCCAGCCTCTGCAACTATGAGAAATACATTTCTTTTCTGTGTGAAATAACCAACCTATGGTATTCTGTTATAGCAGCAGAAAAAAAAAAAGGACTAAGATAATAATTTAACTCTCTTTTTCTTTTTTGGTAGTAGGGCTTAAACCCAGGGGTGCTCTACCACACTGAGCTACATCCATAGCCCTTTTTATTTTTTTATTTTGAGACAGGTCTCACTAAGTTGCTCAGGCCTCAAATTTGCTATTCCCCTGCCTCAGCCTCCAAGTCCCTAGGATCACAGGCATGTGTCACCATGCTCAGCATCTTCATTTGTTTTGAGGTACATGTAAGGGGACATCATAGAGGAAAAAATATACTGGGACCTTTTCATCAAAGCTGCTACGATGTTGTAATCCAAGATCTTTCATTTTTTGCAAATTTTGTACCCTCCTTGAAAGCATCCGTGTTTCAATATAGAAGAGAATCTAACTTTCAAGCTGTTTTACCTCAGTTTGTCATGGGAGGGTTCACACAGGTCAAGCGTAGCTATTCTTTGCCCTTTGCTTGTCAATGGGGCACTCCCTTGGGTGGGGAGCCTTGCAGCGGGCTATAAGGTGTCATTTTGAATTCTTCTCTCAATGCTGCCATGACCTCCATATAAGGTTCTTGCAGGACTTCACCCTTCACCTCCTGCCCAGTGTGAGCTGACAGCCCGGCCCTGTGGTCAGGGTGGTGTTGTGATCTCTGTCAGCATCACTCTTGTGCACAAACCACAGAGGTCTGGTTGCAAGAGAGCCTGCAGTGGTTGCACAGGTATATTTTGCACAGAGCTGGTGTGTGCCTAAAGTCGACTTCAAGTGCATGTTTTACACATAACAATCAGGTTCACACTTTTACAGATTTTCTAAAAAAGAGTAGCCCAAGGAAGCCTTGGCTGCACTACAGTCTGGAACTCAACCCGAGGGAATATCTGTGGCTTCCCAGGCTGGGGTAGAGAAGGAACCATCATTAGCTGCAAAAGAGGCAGCATAGGAAATCAAATATTGGAAGGTCCTGGCGAGAGCAAGAAAAAACAGAATTGGAAAATGTAATTCCAATTGCTGCTAAATTAACCACCAGCATGAAACCCATTCAGAAAATGGGGATGATTTCTACACCATGGGCACTTTCAGTGCTCAGTCTTTTTTTCCAACATTCCCTCTAATAAATGCGTGTCCTATGGCACCCCACAAAAGTGGCCTGACCTTTCCAAGGATCAGAGAAGACCACAGATGTAGAATATCCTTGTTTCAGTGACCCACAGTAGAGCCACATTATCTGATTTAGAGAATGAATCACAGAGAGGGCCAAACCTCAAAATAAATTTAGGAATTCCGTGAATCAGTCCACGGCAATTTGTGTCTGCATTTTTAAATAGCAGCGATTTGCCATATACTACTGAAAATAGCTTATGAACTATGAAGGGAAAACAAAAATAAAAAGATCATGAGGAAAATGTTGCTATTCCTGGAAAATAAAGCTAAAAAGACATGCTTAAAACAAAACAACCCCCCCAACAACAACCACCAAAAAATCAGTTTCAACGCAGTACTAGCTAGACATGGTGTTAGTGCCACCTGCTGCTGTAAGTGTGAATTGCAGCTATCCAATAGCTGATTTGTTTTGAATATCCAATATTCTTTTAAAACCTGCCCTCTCATGATAGGAACTGAAAGTTTTATTTTGCTTTCATTAGTTCCGTGTATCCAAATCTTTCTATGTGCTAAGAGCTTTACATAGATCCTCTCATTTAATTGTGGTAGCAACTCTATTAGGTAGGTAGTACTTTTATCTACATTATATAGATGAACAGAAAAGATCGAGAGTCTGTGGACATGTGGTGGTGAGTCAGAACTTGGACTGTCTGGTCATAATCCAACCTCAAGGCCCATATTCTTCCTGGCTAAGCCATGATCCTTTGTATTGGGATCACCTTTTTTGGAGAGTTTCACAAAATACATTGTCCTTTCGGCCTCAGTTTGCTACCTTCAAAATGATTCATCGAGTGGAATGAATTATTAGAAAATATTACCAGATCCAAGAAGAGGATCTGCAGGGTATTTGGGGTGGTTTCATACCCCAATGCTAGTTCCCCGGACTTCAAGTGCTATTGGGCTCATTTGCATGCTGACAGTCGTAAGTGCTGCTTCAGTATTTCCAGATGGGAAGTGGATCTGATTTTTCCTGAAAGGTGCTCCTTCAGACTGAAGATGATACTACATTTGTAACAGTATCAGGGAGAGGGGGACAAGAATGACTCGTTTTTCTTTATCTTGTAAAAATGGTTCGCTGTCGAAGTTTTATGGGTTATTGTATCTGCCGCAGTCCGGCTGGCTGAAGCAAAATAACGGGGGGGGGGGGGGGGGGGTGACGAATAACTTGTGTACGTTGATACAGCAGGAGTGGGAGCCATTTATTCCAGGACAGGAGCAGTATTTATACATTCCACACAGCTTATCTAATTAGCATAAACTAGATACATCAGTCAACCAATCAGGAATCTCCACACTTAATGGCTCGCTTTTGTTACTTCTCAAACCACTCCCTCCGGCATTTTGCCAGGCACCATCCAGACTTATTTACGAACTTTAACATTCCCCTGGCAAAATGCCAGGTGTTATTTTGACTTGTTTACAGACTCTAACAATTGTATACAGATGGTAAGAATTCTTAGCTATGTTCTAATGATTCCCAGGGTTTCTTGCTAAATGTAGTTGTATTTTGTATCAAGATTTGAAACCACGAAACAGAGAGGGGATGAAGCAGCTGGAAAAGTACAGCAATCACTGGAGTCAAGAGGGCAAAGAGGAAAAACAGGAAGGAGACAGGGGCAGGGAACAAGTCCAAGCAGAGAGGATGGAAAAATCAGGCAAGGGCAGCCAGTAACTGATTATGGGGAGAGCAGAATGGAGATTCAGACCCGGCGTGGACGCAGGAGCACTGCAAATAGCTGGCCATTTGGTGTTGGGTCAGATTAGAGGCAAGAAGTCAGGGGCCCCAAGACAGTGTGTGACTTCCTAGGAGATCATCTCTGAGAGCAAGTAAGTCAGCACCAGAAATGGCAGGGACCAGTCAGTCCAACTGGGAGGGACTTACCCAGCACCTTGGATGTAAAAGCACTCGGCCAGGTGAGTGGGTCTCCTCGCCTTCCCTCCCCTTCTCCAGATTCAGCATGGACAGCACTTATTTCAGCCCAGCTATAAATAGTTGAAAACTTCAGGCTCTGGGTTCCAATCTGATTAAATGTGTCGTACCCAGGAACGACAGCTGAGTTTCCCAGTTTTAGCACATAGCTTAGATTGGTCTCCAAAGCACTGCAATTAATTCCTAGGTCAGCATCTGGCTTCTTGCATGAAAAACACTACTTCTTCTCTGTGTGTGTTTGTGTGTGTGTGTGTGTGTTGTGAATTCTTTTCTTTTTAAAAAAGTGTGGTAAAAACCACAACATTTAATTTACCATCTTAAACATGTTTAAGTGTATCTTTCAATAGTGCTAAGTATATTCACATTGTTGTACAATTGATCTCTAGAACTTTTTCATCTTGAAAAACTGGAACTCTAAACCTGTTAAAAATAATTTCTTCTCACCTTTCATCTAGCCCTTGATAACCAACTTTCTATTTTCTGTTTCTATGCTTTTGACTACTTCACATGAGTAGAATCCTGTAGGATTTGTTCTTTGGTGACTGGCATATTTGACTTAGCATAATGTTTGAGGTTTGTCTATGTTGTAGTAAGTGACAGGATTTTCTTCCTTATGAAGTCTGTGTAATCTGTCCTCATGTAGAGAATAGACTTTATAATTATTTTTTTGGTGAGGATTTAATAAGAGTCATTATGCATTTTTTAAAAGTATAATATAAATATTAAAATTAACCCATTAGTTTTAATGACCATCATGGAATTGTATTTCTAATAAAGTTCTGTTTCCACTCGTGAGTTAGTTACTTGCTTGTTCTTTATGACTCTGGGGAAAGCAAGTTTTCCTACAAGATCTCCTTAAGGGGCCTCAGAGTAAATTCTCTCTGTCATACTTAATGGAAAATCCTCAGGCCTTCCCTGGGTTTTGTAGTAACAATGAGTCTAGGAATGGTCACCCATAATTTATTAACTAGTAAGAATGTTTGCGGGGTGGGTGTTTTACCCTGCTAAGTCAACTACGCATCAACCATACGATAATACCCTGTTAAAAGAGAACTGTTAATAATAATAATACCCTGTTAAAAGTCAAGCCCCAGATGGTGGCATAGGCCTATAATCCCAGCTACCCAGGAGGCTGAGGCAGGGAGATCCCAAGTTCAAAGGCAGCCTGGGAAACTTAGCAAGAACCTGTCTCAAAATAAAATATAGAAAGGGCTGGGGATGTAGGTTAGTATTAGAACGTCCCTGGATTCAATCCCCAGTGCCACAACAATTAATCATCACCCAGTCAGTGTAGGTTTGTGACAGCATTGAAGTTCCGCTGCTGGGCACATGTCCTAAAATATAACATTCTGGCAATGGGAAAACGCAGAGGAGCCCTCTACCAGAGGAATGGTGGAATGAAGCTGTGATAAAATGTGGGTGGCCTGAACCGCCTAGCTAGGTCACACATCTGCTAGAAGCTGTCCTGTGACCTCTTTCCAATCCTTCTGACTGACCACTACATGGAATTCTAAATCAATGGCCAAGATAGGGACAGGTTGTAGTGGTGGGGCCTAGATGCATGAACATCACTTGGCTTCTTATGACTACTGCAGGTGACTGGGATGGCAGGACGTTCTTCCATACTGAAAGACGTTCAGCACAGAAGTGTGTGACAACAGGAGACTTGAAATTCCACAAAAGATTGTCTGAAGTTTGGCTGGCCTGGCTAAAGTGTCTGAAGCGATACAAATGAAATCATGACTTTCCCTGTCTTCACCAAGGACAAAGGTAGGACCTCATTCCATTTCTGCCTTCTTCCTCTTATTATAAGACAGGCTGATTTCTGGTTGTTTGTTTCTTTCAATTTTTAAAAGTAGTACAAATAATATGTGCATAATGTATTGGTTTCCTCTTGATGTTGAATCAAATTACCACAAATGTAGTAGCTTAAAACACTATGAATATGGGCTGGGGATGTGGCTCAAGCGGTAGCGTGCTTGCCTGGCATGTGTGCGGCCCGGGTTCGATCCTCAGCACCACATACAAACAGAGATGCTGTGTCTGCCGAAAACTAAAAAAATAAATATTAAAAAAATTCTCTCTCTCTTAAAATAAAAAGCACTATGAATATGTTATTCTGTGGTTCCATTGACTGGAAGTCCAAAATGATTCTTTTTTTTTTTTTTTTTTGGTACCAGGAATTGAGCTCAGGGTGCTGCACCTCTGAGCTACATCTCCAGCCCTTTTTATTTTTTATTTTCAGATAGAGTCTTGCTAAGTCTTTGAGGCTGGCCTTGAACTTATGATGCTCCTGCCTCAAGCCTCCTGAGTCCCTGGGATTGCAGGTGTGCACCACCATGCCTGACTCTAGGTGCTTTTTATATACTAGGGAAAGTTCATCGTTTTCTGTGAAAAACATTTCTATATTTTTCCAAAATCTTCATTTTTCTTTGACTTTGATTTTTGTAATTTAATCAGGAAGGTTTTTATTTTTAATTTAGCAGGATATTCTTTTATGGCTTTGAGTTTTGAGTTTTCCTTGGGCGGGGGTGGCGGGGGTGGGAATCTTCCCAACTCTTAAGATTTTTAAAGACTTCACCCATATTTTCTTTTAACGCTTTTATATTTTTATTTATTTATTTTACAATTTCATGCATTTGAGGTTTAATGTGGTATATGCAATATGACCTATATGTAGCTTTTCACTCTCCAAATCTCTACATACTGTCTGAGTTCTATTTATTGATATGCTGTCTAACCTCATCACATACTGAATACCCGTATGCATCTTGATTCATGGCTGGGCTTTCAGTTCTCTTCTACTGATCTGCTTATTCATGTCACACATACTTTAATTATTGTGATGTCAATATCATTTATTTAATAGGACAATTTTATGTTTCTTTCTTTGGTTTCAAAAATGCCCTGACCCTTCTTGCCTCCTTATTTACATATATGGACTTTAGAATCACCTCCTTCCAGCATCTAATATATGAACACATGTTTTCATTTTTCTCACCACTTTCTTTTTCTTTAGGGTTTCGAGACTTTAATAAGATCCTCCCCTCTGAGAACAGAGAAGTATCCGCCTAAGGACCAAACTGTCCCACGTTTTTTCCCCCCTAGGAAGAGTGTGTCCTAGGAGGCTCCCTGGATTCTAATGGGACCTGCTCCTTCCAGGACACCAGGGCCTCTAGTCTGACTCCTACCACTGTCCTAGTCCAGGTGTGACATTTAAAAAAAAAAGCCATTTCACTGGGCCTAGTTGGACCTCACTGTGGTTTTTTTTTTTTTTAATTTTTTATTGTTGGTTGTTCAAAACATTACATAGTTCTTGATATATCATATTTCACACTTTGATTCAAGTGGGTTATGAACTCCCATTTTTACCCCATATACAGATTGCAGAATCACATCAGTTACACATCCATTGATTTACATATTGCCATACCTCATTGTGGTTTTAGTTTGCATATCCCAGATGACTAAGGACAGTAAGTGACTCTCAGGTGTTTGTCACCATTTACATAGCTTCTTCCATGAAGAGTCAGTTCAAATCAAATCCTTTTCAAAATGTGCTTGTGGCTTTATTATTGAGTTGTCAAAGTAGTTAATACATCTTGATACAAGTCTTATCAGATATGTGGCATGAATCTCCTTGTCTTTCAGTTTTCTTTTCCTTTTTTGGGGGGCGGGGACAGTACCAGGGATGGAACTCAGGGGTGCTTTTCCACTGCGGACATCCTCAATCCTCCTTTATTTTTTATTTTGGGACAGGGTATTGCTAAGTTGCCAAGACTGACGTTGAACTTGCCTCAGCCTCCTGCATTGTTAGTATTACAAGCATACACCACCACACCCAGGTAAATTTTCTTAATGATGACTTTTGAAAAGAAAAAAAAAATGTTACTCTTTGTAGTTTGACTCCATTTAAGACAACTTTGCCTCCCTCAAGGTTATAAAGATTTTCTCCCATGTTCTAATTACAAATTTTGGCTTTTTTTTTTTTTGGTCATTTAGGGTACAATACATTTCTCATTTCTGTGATGGTTTGAGGTAAGGATTAATGAGCTTTTTTTTTCCTACATAGATATCCAGTTGTTCCAGCTCTGTTTGTGAAAAGTACTGTCCCTTTCCCATTAAATCGCCTATTTCCCATTGAATTGCCTATTTGTAGAAAATGAAATGACCATATATAAATAGGGTTAGTTCTGGATTTATTGTTTTGTTCCATTGATCTTTATGCTGATTCTTTCATCAATTATCTTAATTATTGAAGCTTTATAGTACATCTTGAAATCCGATTGTTTCCTCCAGCTTTCTAGTTTTAAAAATGACTTTTATATTTTTAAGTTTGCAGGAATTTCCATTTCCATTTTAGGACGAGTCTCTCAATTTCAACAAAAATGCCCTGCAGGAGATTGAGATCGCATTGACTCTATATGTCAATTTGGGGAGGACTGAGAATATTGAGTTTTCAATACTTGAACATGTTACGTTTTCCCATTTACTCAGGTCTTCTTCAATTTCTCTCAGCAATGTTTTATTATTTTTAGTGAATGAGTCTTTCATGTTTTTGAATAAATGTAATGTGCACAGTTTTTATAATTTTCTGTTTTTTTAATCATATTTATGGAAGTATTATTTTATTACCAGCGTATCTATTAAAATATTTAGGGTTTGTGTTATTTTTGTATTCATTTCATGATTTCATACCACTAATTTTGTGGTATTCTTCAAAAGTATCCATGAGAGATTGTCCTTTAGCACAGACAGCTTGGGGACACTGTTTTAAAAATGTAAAATCTAGGACCAGTAAGCACTCACTCTTTTGGGGACATGATCTGAAAGTGAGACATACCAATCCTAGTCACATCTCATGGCTGTACTTAGCTATAAGGGAGGCTGGGGAATGGGACTTCAGCTGGCTGTCACGATTCCAGTGTCAGCTATTACTGTGGAAGAAGGGGAACAGGATTTGGTCGGGGACCTACCAGTAGACAGCTGTTGTGGATTTTTCTGGATACCTGAATGTCAACATGCCCCTCCTTTCCAATGCATAGCCCGTACTCACCTCCACAACTGAGTTCAGTTTCTCAAAAGCTCATTCCGTTTAGTGGCTAGGATTTTAGGTGGATAGGCATTCTCCTTCATCCTGTTTGGGTGTGGCCTCTCCTGGTCTGTGTCCCCTCTTAAATGGCAAACTGAAGCGAGGACAACTTCGATAGAAGTCCTCATTTGGAAAAGCAGAGAATGGGGCACCCACAGCAGGCTGTGGTCCCCAGCAATGACGGGATCGGACAGACAGGAACGACGGGTGCCCCTGCTTTAGCAGTTCCGTGACTTGAGATGGGATTCCGGTTCTGCTCTCCAGGAAGAACTGTCATCTTTGTTGTCCTTTCTGGGCCCTAGTGCTGCAATGAAGTAGACACCAGAGAGTACCGCCCATTTGGAGTTTCTAAGGTTTTCACAAACTGCTTTCTCCTGGTAAAGGAGACCCTGCCTCCTCCCCAGGGAGACAGACCATTGCATCTGGCTCCAAGTCCAGGATTTGGGTTGATTCACAGGCTTGTGCGCGATGCATTTTTGGCTTGGCCAAAAGTAGCATCTACCATTTCCTCTTCCCTGAACTTTTGTTCAGGATTTTTCTTGTGGATGCCTGCTGCAAGAGTTGGAAATATAGACTTGTAGCTGTGTCCTCAGAGCCTAGGAGCCCCATTATTCAAGAAGTGGTTAAAGGAAACTTGTTAACCCTTAGCCTCTGTGACGCCCAGGTGTGCTCTCTCTTCTGCACCACACTGGTCTGAGTGTGGGACTCCGTATGTCTCCATGCTTCATGAAACACACCTAAACACATGCACAGTCACAGTTTTGGTAATGATAGACAACTCTTGCGTGATGGATGGGGTTTTATGTTACAAGTGATTGAAGTTATATCAGACTTATTACATGGCTTTATTGTGCTATGATTGATTAAAAAACCTTATACTTATGTATATAATCTGATAAATTTGGAACCTGCATATAACATCACCACAATCAAGATAAGAAACCTCTAAAAGTTTTCTCCTGTCCCTTTGCATGTGTGTGTATGTATGTGAGTGTGTGTGTGTTTGTATGTATGTGTGTTAAGATCACTTAACATGAGATCTACCTCTGCTACGGTTTGGGTGTGGTTTGTCCGTCAAGGGTCCATGTGTTGAAGTCTTAGCCCCCACAATGGGGCAATTGGGAGCTGGAGGTACCTTTAAGATTGGGAGGTTTTGGGTCTTTGCTGACACTGCCCTGGAGGATTCAGATGGTTCTATGGAAGGGCTGTTATAAAAGAGGTGAGCCTCACCCACCCACCTGACTCTGCTTCCTAATTTGAGATGTGATACCTCCTGCCATCTGTCCTGGGGACCTTGTCAGTCAGTGCTGTTTGAAGTTTTAGCCTCTAAAACTGTGACCTAAACAAACTTCTTTATAAAGTTAGTCCATGTCCGGTGTTTTGTTAGGGTGACAGAAAACCGACACAAAGGAGCAGGGCCATATCTGTAACTATAGCTGAAAATGTGGATGCAGTTTTGGAACTGGTTAAAGGGAAGAGTTCGGAAGGGTTTGGAGGGGCAGGAGAGAAAAGGCCCAGAATGCTGTGAGCGGAGTGTTACAGGTGATTGTGGTGAGGCACAGAAGATGAGTCTAGGGCACTTGTCTCCAGTGCAAATGAGGATTTTATTGGAAACTGGACTAGCAGTGGCCCCTGTACCACTGTGGCAAAGACGCCCGGTGCCTTGCCTCGGTGCTCTTCGCCTTTGTGGAAGGCTGAACTGTACAACGACGGACTAGTTTTTCTGGCAGAGGCGATTTCAAAACCAGAAAGCATTTTGGTTGCATTGTGGGTATTACAGGCTGCTTTCAGTCATATTTACAATAAGCTTTGGAACACTTAGGGAAGCTGCGTGGAAAGATCTGGAATGTTTCCTGCCTGATCAGGGAAGGAGCTTGTATAACTGACTTCACGCCCATGGAACAGCTCCTCACTCCCCTGCCTCCATCCCTGGTCCCACCTTGCTGTTCTCTGTTTCTGTCAGTTTGTTTCAGGTCACTCCTGTCATGGAATTGTGCCACATCTGTCCTTCTGTGACTGACTTCTCCCTCTTACCGTAATGTCTTCCAGGTCCCTTCCTGTTGTTGCTAATGGCACCATTTCCCTCTTTTTTGAGACTGAATAATATTCTATTGGATGTAGAAAGCACGTTGTCTTTATGCATCCATCTGATGATGGACACGCGGGTTGTTTCTGTAGCACGTCTGTTGTAAACAACGCTGCAGTGAACATGGGCATGTGTACCTCTCGAGGTCCTGACAGCAGTTCTTCTAGTGAACCCCCGGAAGCAGGATTACAGGATGATGGGGCTTTAACACCAGACTTGGTTTCTTTGACCCTGGAGCACTTCACTGCATCTTAACCCTTCCCTCTGCCTTCCTCTCTCCGTTGCTTGCGGTGTGCATCTTCACTACTGTGGCAGAGCGGATCCCCTTTCTTTCTGTGTTTTTGACTAATGCCCTGACAGTTTTGCTTTTCATGCCAGTGATGTTATTCAGGATTTTTGCTAAAGTGAGATGGTTTCCCTCTAAAAGGAATTCAAACAACGACCTCCTTTTACCTTGTTCTGAGTTTGTGCGCGGTACAGAAGGGACTGGAGAGAAAAACAGAAAATTTGTAAAATGCATATAATTGCCTAATGAGTGTTTTAGTCAGCTTTTTCACTGCTGTGATTAAAGGACCCAAGCAGAACAACTGTAGAGGAGGAAGCGTCTACTGGAGGGCTCACGGTTTCAGAGGCTCAATCTATAGACAGCGGGCTCCATTCCTCAGGGCTTCAGGTGAGACCGGAGCAATGTGGCAGAAGAGCGTGACAGAGGGAGGTGCTTACGTGTGATCAGGAAGCAGAGAGAGAGAGAGAGAGAGAGAGAGAGAGAGAGAGACTCTACTTGCCGGACTCTTAAACCCAGTCATGGGGAGACACCTCACATCCAAACCATAACAATGAGATTATGAAATTTTATTTTTTCCCTTTTCCAAATTTCTTATTATTGAAAGGCATTTCTGTTATACTCTGTAAAATGTAATAGCGAAATTTTAAAAAAAACAATCATTTGTTCCTGAAAATTGGTGAACATATTGTAGAAATTAAATTCAGTGCACCTTCCTATTTACATTGCTGTAGGTGAGAAAATAGAAAAGACCAAATAATAATCGTTAACTTTCACAGACTACTATTTACTATGTGCTGGGCAGTGGATTAACTAATTCAATATGCATAACAATCCTGTAAAGTAAGTACTAGAGGAAAGACTGGATCAGCCAAACGGAAAGTACAGGGAGTTTAAGTTCCATGTGCAAGCTCACACAGCTACTGCTGCTACTACTAACCATAATCCCAGCAGTACTCATTGTTCCAAGTGCTAAATACATTTTGCCATTTAATTCTCACCTGAGCCTGTGTAATAGTTATTAACATGGTCCACATTTATAGGTGAGTAAACTGAGGTCCAGAAAGGTTTAGTAACCTGCCCAAGTGTGCCCAGCTACTAAGTGACAAGGCTGAGATTTGGATCTGGGTAGTTTAGGTCCAGGTTGATGTTCCTAAACATTACACTCTTAACATTCACAGGAGATTGGGGGTACATCTCAATAGTAGTGTGCTTGCCCAGCATGTGTGAGGTCCTGGGTTCAATCCCCAGTACCTCCCCCCCGCATTTAACATTAACATATATTATGTGAGTTTGAGTTGCAAAGTTAACAAGTTTGTTCTATCAAGCTGGGGGTCCTTGCAGAGATTCTCAATGTCAGCAATGTAAGGCCTGGTGAATATTCTGCTTCTCCGTGGTCATCAGATAAACTGGGTTGGTGGAGCTGAGTTTCTATGGAATCTGGTTGGATGCTTCCATTCACAGCATGTGGGAGGACCTCTAGGAGGACAGGGTTTGAATTACAGCAATCTGAAAATAAAGCGAGTCCCTTTCCTGGAAAGAAAACACCAGAATGCTTATTCAAAAAGCAAAGCCTGGGTTTGCTAGGCCCTCTGGAGAGAGACACACCATCATTATGAAAGGCCTGATCCCAGCTGGCTTCCTGTGCACAGCAGAGCCTAATGATGCTGACAGGTCACATAAGCTGCACTAATGGGCTCATGTTTTATTTATTCAGGTGCTGATTTGACATCGCCCAGCCCCAACGAATCTATGGATTTGGAAATAACTGGGTCCTCTCTCTACATACTATGATGTTATCTCCAATGAGAGACAGCTCTCACAGTTCACAATAGGAATTCAAATACCACCAAAGGCATTAGGCAACGTTTAAAACACAAATCAACGGCGTCTAGCATGATAGATTGCAAAGAAATTTCTGGCACCAAGAGTCTCTCCTTAAGCACCACTTCCACACAGCGCCAGCTAAATAATGTAATAGCCTCTGCACTCTTTCCAAATCGAGGATGAAATTATGTATTTCTCCCATGACACAGAGGATACCAGAAAGCAGCATTTCCTGAAATAAAACATGCAGGGTAAATGAAATCAGAGGCTAAGGGAG